CACCAGCTCTGCGTAGGGACCACTATGCTCTACAGCCTCTTCAAGGACTGGGGCAGAGAGTCTGTGGTCTACTGATATAGGGGTGGGCTGTGCGGAAGAGAACTGAAGGCCGAACCTCTGAAGGACCTGGCGAACCAAGTGTGACTGTGAGAGAGTGATGGTGCACGGTGCTCTGTCCCTTGAGATCTGCAAGCCAAGGTAGCGGCGCAGCTCTCCTAGGTCAGTGTAGGTGTGTCTCCTCAGCAGCTCAACCTTCACGGCGGCCAGTGCGTCTCTCTCTGCAGTAGCAAAGACTAGATTGTCTATATAGACAAGGATGTAGAACGGAGTCGGGACGGGACGGACAAAGAGCGAGGGGTCTGCAGATGAAGGGAAGAACTGCAAGTCAGCAAGTGTAGCACGCAGCGTGTCGTGCTACTCACGGAGCGCTTGTCGCAAGCCGTAGACAGGGCGCCGGAGGAGCCACTCGGTGCCAGGGAGGAAGGTACCAGAGAAGGCTTGGGGGCGGCGCAGGTAGACCTGCTCATGTAGACTGCCCTGGAGGAAAGTTGTGGAGAATTCAAGGGAGTGCAACTCGTAGTTACGCTGTGCTCCTACGTGTAGCAGCGCCCGAAGAGTGGTCATCTTCGGTGTCGGGGCGAAGGTCTGAAAGAAGTCCACCCCCACACGCTGACAGAAGACTCGAGCGACATAGCGCACCTTGAAGACAGGCGGCTCTCCAGGAGGGCGCTTCACCTTGAAAAGCCACCGGCCATCGACTACGTTCACCCCAGGTGGGGGAACTTCGTTGACGAAGGTACCGGTGGATCTCCAAGATGCCATCTCCTGCTCCATGGCAGCTATCTACTGAGAGGCCCAGGGTCCCCAGGTGGCCTCAGTGTAGGCGTGAGGGGTCGGGATGTCGCGGGCGTCTGGGTCACCCTCAGGGACTAGTAGTATGGAACAGAGATGGGGAGCAGCCTTAGATAGGAAAGTGAGCTCGAACTGCATGTCCTCTAGGACGTCATTGCCAAGAGCAGCCACACCCCCAACGGTCGGAGGGCTAGCGGGGTCAGAGACCAGAGCGGTGGCGTAGTCCAGACGGTGGGTAGCGGCCAAGTCAGTGACAGCAGCGACAAGAGCCGACAGACTGGAGACATGAATGGATGGGTCGGTAACGAGAGAGGCAAGGACACGAGGAACAAGGGGACGCGCAGCACGGAGGAAGTCCGAGAATGGAGGCGGGGCCACAGCAAGAGACGACTGGGGAGGAGACGGGAGCAGAGGAGGAGCACGAGACGCGTGAGAGCGCAGCAACTAAGGGTGAGAACGCGGAACAGGGGAGTTAGGATGAGCACGAGCAACTACGGGACAGGAGGAAGGGTCTGCAAGAGCAACTGCACCAGGAGCGGCAAGCGGCGTAAGCGTCGTGGAGTCGCGAAAGAAACGCCGGGAAGTGCCGAAGTCCAGGGTGAAGGAGAGCATGGCAGCGGCGAGAGAGGTCGGAGGAGCGAGGGAGGACCCTAGGCTAAACAAGGCAGGGGATCCTACACCTGACGCAGCAGGGGAGCCTGAACTAGGCACACTGGGCGCAGCTACGCTAGGCAACATAGGGTAATAGGAACCAGTCACACTAGAATCATCAACAGACAGCCCATACAAAGCAGAGCTAATCTCATCCATGTTCATATCAAAGATCTGAACACGACGATGGAGCAGATTGTGCCAGTCGGGGAGGTCATGCGACGGGCCGAAGCGGAAACAGGTCGTCTAGGCGATGAAAGCAACGAGGGGGGGGGGGGGGGTGTATGACCGATCTTTCCGCACACGAGGCCACGGCGAGGATCGGTCTGGAGCTGGTACTGGCAGCGCCCGTCACTCTGACTACCATCCGACAATATGCCGCGCGAGCGATCACTGCGACCACCGTCACCTCCAGCTCCAGGCCACCCGGGCGGGAGACAGCCGACCCTCCGCTGCTGCTGCTGCTGCTACTGCGCCTGCTACTGCTACTGCTACTGTGCCTGCTGCTGGTGCTGCTGGTCCAGCTGCGGAGCCTGCTGCTGCTGCTGGGGCTGCTGCTCCGGGGCACCAGCCCCGGCCCCCTCGTTAGTACTACCAGCAGGCGAGCCACCTCCACCACCGGCACCACCCCCTCCTCCGCTACCTCCGCCACGCCCAGCCTTGTGGCGGCGACCCTTACCCGGATGAAACTGCACTGCGGCGGCTGTCTCAACAACCGCAGCAGAACCGTCGGAGTAAGAGCACTGAGCAGGGGCACAGCTCTGAAAGAAAGAGATTGGCACGGTACCGCTAAACTGGGCGATTGAGCGCTGACGTGTTTCTATGGCAGACAGGGTGTTGACAAAGTCAGTGAGGGTGAGGTCTGCAGGGTGGAGACTAAGGAAGTGATCGCGGGCGGTGGCAAGGCGGTCAGGGAGGCGAGTGGCAAGCAGGTAGAGAGTAGAGCAGATCGGGGGCTGAAACACACGAAGCTGAGCCTCAGTGCAGGCAGCGCGCCAGGTCGTGTCTAGCGTGCGCAAGTGGGCGGCTAGGTCAGCGACAGTGTGTTTCAGCCCCCCATTTGCTCTACGCCACCGCTCTGGTCTCTGACCCTGCCTACCATCCTACCGACGGGGGTGTGGCTGCTCTTAGCAGTGACGTCCTAGAGGAGAGGCACTTCGATCTCGCTTTCCTGTCTGAGGCCGCTCCCCATCTCTGTTCCATGTTAAACTAAGCTAGGTAGGAGGGAGGCCATGGAATGGCGCGAGGTTTAAGACGGAGAAAGTTGACGAGAGAAAGAAAGGAAGACTTGAAAGAGAGAGGGATACAAGGAGGGGATTGTACCCTCTACAGTAGAGTACGATAACCTACCAAGCCTACACAAACATATATATATATATATATATATATATATATATATATATATATATATATATATATATATATATATATATATATATATATATATATATATATATATATATATATAATTTGACACACCCCCTAGGCTTGGTAGTCCCAAGCCCACACACACACACACCTCCTAACCTAGCGCTCCCATGCCCAGCAGCAGGCGCGATGACTCCGGAATGGGTCAACTTCCACGGCCCGTGAGATGGCAATGGCGGCAGCGGCGGCAGTGATGAGAGCGGCGGTGGCGTGCGGCGGCAACAGGCCAGCGGCAAGAGCGGCGACGGCGGCTTCAACGTCAGAGGCGACTGCAGTGGGCCCCACCCTCTCGGTGGCATGGCCAATCTCCTCGGTGATGGGAAGGCCCTCACGAGGCAGGCGTCAGCTGTGGCAAGGAAGATGGCAATGGCGGCAGCGGCAGCAGTGACGAGAGCGGCGGCGGCGAGTGGCGGCAACAGGCCAGCGGCATCAGCGGTGGCGGCGGCTTCAACGTCAGAGGCGACTGCAGCGGCCCCCGCCCTTCTCATCTCCTTGGCGAGCGGGAAGGAGGGGGGAGGGGGGGGGGGGGGGGGGGGAATCTTCAGCGAGGCACCATGGCTGGCGCGAAGCTTACTGGCATGAGGGTGTTACGAGTGGCGCCTAGGACAGGGCGCTGGCCGCAGCTGTCCGTGCGCTGGCGTGGCGAAGCCGCCACGGCAGCACGACGTCACGGCGGCACGGCGACCCAGCGGCACGGCGGCGCGGCGGCACCGTGGCACGGCGGCATGGCGGAACGGCGACACGACGGCACTGAGGCATGGCGACGTGAAGGGGCCAACGCGGAGTGACGCGGCCGGCGCGGCGTGACGGGGCCGGCGCGGAGGGACGGGGCCAGCATGGCGTGACGGGGCCAGCGCGGCGTGACGGGGCTAGCGCGGCGTGACGGGGCCAGCGCGGAGTGACGGGGGCAGCAAGGGGTGACGGAGCCAGCGCGGGATGTACTCCCTACGGCACATGTAATTTTTGAAAGCTTGTAACGCTTTCTAAAAAATGTGTATTGTTAAAGTGTAGCGATGGCCAACGCGCAAAGACAGCGTCGAAGTGCTACTCACCCTCATTTGCCTACAAAAGGGGGACGTGAGGCCACTCGGCCTCACCCATATGAAATGAAGCACGCTGCCTTTGCAAAGATGAACCAAGCAAGCTTTCACAATCCTAAATGGTCTACAGAAACATACAATATATGTTTAACACAGGGCTGGTACAGAAACACTAAACTGAAATCACAGGGTGAGAAATGACATGAAACTGAAAACTCAAGATTGGCACCTATGTACAGTGGCAGGAAAAATTGTCCACATGTTTAGCATATTTTTACATTTTTCCTCACTTGATCTCAACCCGGATATTTTTCCCCACCAGTCGGGACTACTTCGACTGCTGCACCGTGACGAGACCTACGGATCCTAGCGCGATTCTAATAGTGCAAGGATGCACTGTCGACCATGCTATGTTACCATAATTTTCGTGGCAGATACGCTAGTTTTCGCCACTCTGCTTGTAATTTTTACCTACAACGGTACGATGAAGATGATCCATGATAAGACAAGACCAATCGACTTATGGCATCTTTGGCCACACCTCAGCATGGCTAGTCTTAGAGATAAGATTCAACATGAAATCGTGCACAGTACTCTTGCATACGTTCAAATACTTCGCGATATTCCTAGTGCTCACCCCCTTATGCAAAAGCGTGGGTCCAGGAAGAGTGCGAGAAGATCCCTGTAAAGGTTTGCACTAACCTCGTAGATATCATGCCTAGGAGGGTGTAGGTGGTGATCAAGGCCAAGTGTTGGTTGACTAGGTACTAGTTTTGCTAGTAACTAGTTTGCTGCCTGTCCTCGGTACAAATTGTCCGGATGTGCTGTTATAAAATGCTGTCGTGTTGAAGGACCATGAAATATACCACTCTGGTTTTAGGAGATCTGAGTGAGTGCTCTAACTTTTCCTCTCTACGTGTATGGCCACCATGAATTAAGGCTTAATGTTTATAGCGTACAGCTCGTCAAAATGTAAAAATATGCTAAACATGTGGACAATTTTCCCTGAAATCTGAGGCCCAGCTCCCTCGGAGGTATCAACTGATGGCTACCAGGTACTACAACCCATCTATTCCAGTCAAGCATACCAGTACATACGAAGCCACCTCCATCACGAAGGGCCTAAAAACACTTCCACTAAAACCAACTAGCATGTGTCATGCACAGGCATCAAGGTATTCAAAGAAACAGGTGGCAAAACTGTGGAAACCCTAGCAGGGCATGTAGCAGGACGTGCTGCTGCATAACTTCCTGCTGGGCTGATCCGCTGAACAGCTCCCCTGGTAAATATCTCTGTAGCAAGGCACCTTTCTTGCAATACCCCTTGAGTTGCTACTAGGGAAGGCACACCGGCGGCTCCCTCACTCAACTGCCGTGCAGGAATATTCTGGAGTTCTCCAAGAAACTCACCCTTGGTCCCCACAGCTCCTGATATCCACCATAGTTTCTCCTGCTTCCGAGCTGTCTTGATACCGTCTCCAGCTTCTCCCACGACTTCCTCATTCACATTTGGTGCAAGGAGGTTCTGCAGTTGAGCTTCAAGGGTTCCCTTGGTCCCCACAGCCCCTGTCTTCCACCAGCTCCTCTCCGGCCTTTCAGCAGTCTTTATACAATCAGTGGTGATCTGGTCTCTGCCCTCGAGTCCTCCCAAAAATTGCAGAGGTTCCTTGGCCGTATCCCCTGCCTTCTGTGCCGCCACAAAAATCTGCCCCTCGGGTATCCTCGGCACCTTGTCAAGCTGATCTCCTCGGAATTCGGCACCTTGTACGAGTGGTGAGCTTCGCACACGAATATAAGGAGAAGCTTCTCCACGCAAAAGAGGTGTAGCTGGACCCAGCTCTGCTGCTCCATTCCTTGACGACCCTGAAAAAGACGGCAGCTGCTGCATTGCCGGATTGAGTGACAAGGGTGCCCTCTGGTTCCTGAAGTGTTGAGCTCTCCACGCCTCAAAGGTCCGCCACCCATGCAAAGTTGGCTGCTGCTGAAACCCTTGTGCCACAGCTTCTCGCGCATTCTCTCCCGCATGCTCTCCCGCATGCGCACCTGCACACTCTCCTGCACGCAACACTGTTTGCTGCTGCTGCTGCAGAGCTTCAGCGACACTTTCTGCTGCTCCATTCCCTGCAATTCCCAGTGAATGTGCGCCTCTGCTGCTCTCCTCTGCAAGTTGCATAACAGTTAGACCTTTCCACTCTCGTGTCTCAGTCAACCCTTGAGCTGACTGGAAAATCTCTTACCACTGCAACACCCTGGCACCGTCTTCTCTAGCTCCCTTGCTTTTCATGAAGTCTCTCACAGCACCATCCCTTCCTGCGGAATTGCTCCCACCAGCCGTAAAGCCACCCACAACAGGTGCAACTTCTTCTTCTCCTTCTCCTCCTCCTCCTCCTCCTCCTCCCACAAAGAAGCCCCTCGTTCTAGCTCCCCTTGCAGCAGCTGCACTGTCACTCCCTGGTGCAATGTCCCCAGCGCCAACCCGATTGACTTCAACTAAACACCTGTCAGTGCGCTGCTGCACATTTTTTCTTATCAAGTATACGCCTAGATTCATATAACTAAGTCCGCACTTCCCAGCACTAACTCCTGCTTCCAGGGGGGGCTCTATTCCTGCCTCAGTTTTTCCATTTTGTGTTCTGTCTTTTCTGGTACTAGCCAAGCCACCACGCTTAAAGTCTCCGTGAAACAGTACCGCTGCTCCATTTCTCCCTCTCTCCAGCCATCCTCCAGTTCCGAATCCCCCCAACCAGTTGTCAACAACATCCCTCCCACATCCCAGTAGCCTCTCCTCATGCCGCGCATCATCCGCACGCTCCCGCTTTCTTTTCACACTGCCCCCAACTGACTCCAAACTACCCTGAGAACCAGTTCCTGTCTCCCGCACCTGTCTCATCTGACCAGTTTCAAACCCTCTAGTAGCGGCTCCTTCACAGTCTACTGGAACAGTCCTACTCAGTGTCCTCGTCTTCCCCCCTACGTCCTCACATGCCCCTCTATTTCCCAGCCCCTCACAGCCATCTCTATCATTCCCCGTATCCTCCGTATTCTCCTCCCCTACCACCAGGGTTCGCTGGCATGACTTTGCAGCGTTCCTGTTTGCGAGAAGTCTCGTCCTGAGCTTTGACGAACCGACAGCTGCATCAGGGGCTGTCTCAATTGGACTCTCGACAGTACGCTCAGCTGCTCCGCCAGTTCGAGGAGCTGCTGCATCGCCCGCAGAGGTAGCTGCTGTTCCAGCCATTTTGTAGGCTGCTGCATTAGGCGTCGTCTCTAATTCCCTCTTGACGGTACGTTCACCTGCACGGCCAGATCTGCGAACGGCTGCTTCACCCCTGGAGATAGCTGGAGTTCCAGCCAGTGCATTAGCTGCTGCATCAGGTGTCGTCTCATATGTACTCTTGACAGTACGTTCAGCTGCAGCGCCAGCTGCAGGAGCTCCTGCCTTGTCCGCAAAGGTACCTGTTGCTTCAGATGAGCCAACAGCTACATCAGGTGTTGTCTCAAACTGACTGTTGACTATACGCTCACAAGCACCACCAGCTGCAGGAGCTGCTGTTACACCCACAGAGGTAACTGCTGCTCCATCCAAAGCATTAGCTGCACCAAGTGTTGCCTTAAATGGACTCTTGACTTGACGCTCAGCTGCACCGCTAGCTGTAGGATCTGCTGCCACACCCCCAAAGGCAGCTGCAGACCCTCCAGCCAATTGCGTAGCCAATTGCGCCTTGGCAGCATGTCGCACCCATCCAGGGTCGTCGCCGGCATCATCGTCATGAAGCTGAAAATCTCGCCACAGGTGACTAGCACGTGAGGCACACGCTCCCGGTTTACCCCCCCTATTCAGCCAGGAATGGTCGATAGCCCAAATCGGCACTATAACCTGGTGGGGGTGGTGGTGTTTGGGCGACGAAGTCAAGTCATTAGGCGGCCCATCAGCTACTAGCTGTTTTCATTTCCTGACTGCCTTGTGTCGTTAGTTCAAGTTCTTCTTCAGCTCGAGTCAGTCCTTCACTATGTGACTCGGATGGTTGCATGAGCTCATTCGTACAAGGCCATAACACAGCATACTAGTTGAGGAATCGTCTACCGTATCACTGATACCATTACGTCCGCACTACTCTTGCTAGTTTTTTTTGCCATATGTGGAGGAATACGTACGTGATGAAGGTATATCACAGTTGATGACCCCAGTATAAGTGTATGAAGTACTCATATTGGTATAGCTGTCCCAAGATCCTAGATGAGAAGGTGCACTGGGTTTGCCACCATATTGAGGCCGAAATTGTGGTTTGATTGGCTGGTATACTGTACCCTGACACAATCGCTCAGCTGAACCGAACCTTGGAGTCAGCCAAGATTTGCCCATCAAGCGCGCCGAGGTCCTGTCGGTTGGCTAATCAAGAATTGCGCAGGCGAAAGATCCCAACCCATTGACAGGACGACAGCCAGTCGAACCAACTTCAGTGCTGTAGGTTTTGATGCGTTTTCATCCAGCAGGGATTCTTGCTTCCCTGGCGACCCGAATGGGCTGCTGGCGAAATGGGTTGCTTGCTTTACCATTGATGAAGTCTTGGACAGCTAACAAGACTTTCAGTCATTTCCCTTAGCATCCAGTGAACAAGGTAGTTTCTCCAGTGTTTCCTCCAACCCTGGAGGTTTGCTTTGCTGGCCATCTGCGTGCTCAGTCAGCTCATCCTCTCAGGTTCTTTTCGACATGGCACGTGCGTGTGCTTATTACCAACTCAGAGCTTCATTTATTACAAAGAACGTGTCAAGGGTTAGTGATGGGACACGATAGTCGCCTATCGTTTTGCAGCCTAACTTTTGCGTCCTACTCACAATTTGCCATAATCTCGTGGATGTATTTGACGACGTTTCCATGACACCGTGAATCTTCAGTGAATCTGATTCTCACTAAGGGCCTAATAACGTACGAACAATACGAACGACATAGTGAATCTATTATATAACTATGAGAGTACGACCCCGTTACACTTCTTTCTCATTTCCATCTTTTTCCTCTACCTCATTCTTCTAATTATCCTAATTCCTTTGATCTATATCTCATCCCATTTGGTTTCCTATTCCTCATTTCTCATTATCCTTTGGGTTATCCTATTATTATTATTATATCACCGACCAGGCTCGGGATGTACTGCCGCGCTATATCTAGCGTAATCTTGCCGTAATCCCTTAAATCCAATAGCCTCGTGTGGCTATACGCAGGGTGATTCTATTTCTATAAGGGTCTATTCTCTTTGGATAGGATAAACCTGGTTACCTGATGTACTTCGGAAGAATAAAAGCGCCTTGTATCAATCGATAGTGCAACTTTTCCTCGACACATTCGATCCTGTGACAATAACGGCGTTTCTCTTCAGAAATCATAGGTGTTTGGAAGAAATGGCCAGCAGTTGCTGCTCAAGGACTCCTCGGGTGACGTCGGACGTTAGTACAAAGAGGGGAATAAATGTATTGTCCTACAGCAAGTGAGACTACTTGAGGTACGAACACAGGTATTCAGCTTAAGGGACAGACATTTGAGCATTCTATGGACTTGCACGTCCTAGCAATGGCTTGGAGGAAGCAACTCAAGTATCATGGACGTGGATGGCTCATATCATCGAGCTGGAAGAACAACGTGATGACGTTGAGGAACTACTCTGGTTTACTGCGGCGTTTCACATCTTCCCGTCAGCTTCTCCTCTGGCAGTCCGACTTTCATAATTCCCCTGGAAAAGACAACTGACTCATATCAAGAACCGTAAGCGCTTCTGTTCCAATCCAAGCATACATACCAAGTCATTGAGAATTGTATGGACGTGCAGACCCTCCTTGGCAACGGCCACACTTGGGAGGAAGCAACAATCATGCGGAACATCATGCACGTGGATGGATCAGCTCATACTGTAGAGAGGAAGGAAAGGCGTGATGTTGTCGAGGAACTATTCCAGCATTTCACAGCTTTCATCTGACCTCATAACAACTTCAGCTTCTTCATCTCCAGGGCCTCAAATAGGAATTCAAGCATCGTGAGAACTCAGGGCTGGCCGCTTCAATGCATATTGATTCCTCAGGATGATTCGCAAGTTCTATACTAAGGCCCCAGGGAAAATTTGCCAAACATATATGTATATGTTACTATAGGCTGTATAGGTTTGTACTCTTAGAGATTACAACCACTTAGACAAAACCATCCTGTATCTCACATTCTATCACACAATTCTACTCTGAGATGGTATCACGCGCTAGGCTAGGTCCTCCCCGCCCACCCGCGCATCCGCTTTAGTCCTAGCCGCCCATTCCTAGCCGCCCGTCTTTAGTTGCCCGTTTTGAGCCGCCCGTCACTAGCGCCTGTAGTCTCAGAGTAAAAAGTTGACTAGAATGATGGGGTACAAGGGAATATAATATAAGGTATTGTACTCTATATGAGCATGCATCTATCAAGCCTATAAAATATACAAAATATATGATGACACACCACCTACGCTAGACAAGGGGCAGCGACTAGCAAGAGACATGCAACTCAGGGTGGTATACTAGTCCAACCTCTGAGGTAATGGTCCGAAGACCAGTCAGCAAGAGTACAAACTAAACAAGAGTAATTCAGGGAGGCACTACTAGTCCAGCCACTGGAGCAGGAGCCACAAGGCCAGTCAACGTAACATAAGATATAGTACATACACATTCAAGGTCCTAGCAAGTGAGAAGCTTTTGGAACTAGACCAAGCTGGACACAGTGTCGCCTTAGTAAAGATATCAGCTGTGTTGGCACCGGAGGCCAAGTGTACTACGCGGGCCTGACGGCGCTGCTGTAGCTCACGCAGGAGGAAGTACCGCAGCTGAATGTGCTTCGCTCTGCCCTCCAGACGAGGCTCCTGACACAGGAGGATCATGGCCGTGTTGTCAGCGTACAGGACCGAGGCAGAGCTAGGCTGCTCACCTAACTCTGTGAGCAAGAAACCCAGCCAGCGGAGCTCCAGTGCTGACATGGCACTGACGTAGATCTCAGCCTTACAGCTAGACTGGGCAACAGACGACGAGCGAGTGGACCTCCACGAAATGGCGCCTGCACCAAGACTAAAGCAGTAGCCCTGAGATGACCTGGGGGTTCAGCGTCGTCTGCCCACAAAGCGTCTGTGTGCCAAGTAAGGACCACTGGCCTGCGTCCTCCTAGCACTAGCCCCATGCTCGATGTACTTGCTAGATAACGCAAAACCCTCTTAGCGGCCGACCAGTGCCGTGGTCGGTGTCTGCCTGTGGCCACAAAGCAAGCCAGGACACTGAGAGGGTATGCAGGATCTGGAGGAGTGCAAGTTATCAGGTACATGAGGCAACCCACCAGCTTTGCGTAAGGACCACTAGGATCTACAGAATCCCCAAAGACGGGAGCTGTGAGGAGGAGAACTGAAGACTGAACCTCGGAAGCACGTGGCGCACCAAGTGTGACTGGGTGAGAGTGATTGTGCTGCTCTCTCCCCAGAGATCTGCAGGCCAATGTAGTGGCGCAACTCTCCTAGGTCAGTGCAGGTGTGTCTCCTCAGCAGCTCGGCATTCACAGAGACCTGTGTGTCTCTGTCTGCAGTGGCAAATACCAGGTCGTCTATGTAGACAATGATATAGAACGGTGTTTGGCTTGAACGAACGAAGAGCGAAGGATCTGCATAGGACGGGAAGAACTGCAGATCAGCTAACATAGCACAAAGAGTGACGTGCCATTCTCGAGGCGCCTGCCACAGGCTGTAAACCGGGCACCGGAGGAGCCACTGGATCTCCGGGGAGAAGGTGCCGGTGAAGCCAAATGGGCGATGCAGGTGGACCTGCTCGTGACGACTGCCCTAAAGAAACGCGGTTGGTAAGTCGAGAGAGTGCAGCTCGTAGTCACGGTGTGCTGCTACGTGTAGCAGCGCCCGAAGA